AATATCAGAAAATCATACGTCCTCTGGTTGCTGTCATCGGGTAAACTCAAACGATCTAGTGATCGGCTACAGGCAGTATCTTATGGGAATTTTCGGTGCAGTGAAAGGATAGTACAAAGTCCCCCGTGTATCACGCACAGTCTGACGTTTGCTATTGGACTTTAACATAGGATTAAAAAGCTACAGAGACACCGTCAACGCCAATAAACAACTACGATCGCAAAGGGGATCTGTCATTTTCAGCGTTGTGGAGGTCATGGTTGCTAGAGTCGGTGTATAATGAGTCACGCCAAGAGTAAAGCCAAGTCTACCTATTGAACCGTCAAACCGGCTACCTATCGGGCAAAGTAAACAAACATTATGATGCTATGAAAGGTCCACGAAAGGTATTGCAATAAAATATAAAATATAATCGAAGAAATGAGCATAAACACGCAGTGTGCATTAAATTGTCATGGGATACGTTCGGTAATGATCAGTAATGAGAATTTCTACTATTTTTTGTTAAGATAATTTGACAAAATCACTGATATAATGATTTTCTACACCCGCATTTTTTTTTCTCTCGCTAGAAGTCATTTGAAGTTATTGTAGAAGTCCACTGTTGCCAAGTGTAAATAATGGGAATCTTTCGAAAACCGTGATGCGAGTTCAACTGTTTTTCTCTTGGCGTGACTCATTATACACCGACTCTAATGGTTGCCAGTAAACATTGTATGGTTACCGCTTAGATAAAGTTCTGACAGCTCGTTCGACACAGAAAGACTCTGAAACACAATCAGCACAGTCACAAGGTGGCAGAGTAGTTACCCCTTGCTCACGACTCTTTTGAAATTCTCAGTCAGACTACTTTCAGGAATAATGCTGGAGATCTAATAGCGAATTCGTTTATTATCGGGGTTAACACCAGTTCCAACCCAGTGCGAAACCGAACTTTTTGTCAGTGTGAACCTCAACCTGAGCTAGGTTTTAAAAACAAACGAGCAAACTGACGTTTGTCAAAAAACAAGCAGACCCAATCTTGATACCCGATCCAGGTTGGAACTAAATAATAAACGAATTCGCTATAAAAAAGAATACCAGAAACATGGTTGTCGCTATTCCCGGCCACGCCCAACTTTACCATAACTAGAGGTAGGGAAGGAAATGTTGATGTAATACTTACTTAACGATAGCCACCGACTTAGCGACACCCTCATAAGTGCTACGGAGTTGGAGGGTTGGGTAGAGTACTCGGTTAGGATTCGCCTCAAGTTGGCGATGCAATCAAAAGTATGTATTGTTTATGTGTTGCTCATTTAATCTCTCGATAGCCGACTATCGAAAGAACACATTGATTTTGTTTAGTGATCATTAGAGTGATGCAAAATTTGAAATTTTCGCTCCACAATACTTAAACGATTCCAAATCGGATCCTGACTAACCTCTCAAAATTTGAACCCATTTGGTGAGAAACTGAGATGGCACAAACCATTTGAAGTTTGTATGGGAATTACTATGGTAAAACCAAGATTTTTGTTCATGTCTATCTTATAATTCACCATATCGGTCTGCTTTAAAAACTTTCAACTGTACTTGTAGGAAATTTTCCCAGCTACAACTTTGCTGAAGACCACTTTTCGATTAAATGCAAAAGATCGAAAGTTATCAATGGTTCAATGCACTGATGTCTTATGATCATGCTCAATCAACTGCTCAGCAGGCAACATTGGTGTTTCTGGGGCGTTGAATAGGACACAAATATCATGGATTTGATGAGATTTCCCATAGTAATTTACATGTAAACTTCAAATGGCTTGTGCGAAGTCTGTTTCTAACCAAATGAATTGTAACTTTGGGAGGCTAATCAGGACCCGATTTGAAACCATTTAAGCACTGTGGAGCGAAAAAGTCAAATTTTGCATCAGTCTAGTGATCATGAATTTTAAGAGTCATGATGGAGAGCTTGGGGTTAAATCCATGATTTTCTGTTCAGTAAGCAAAAACGATCCCTCCGGGGTCATCGGGCATCATTTCACAATAAACAGCGCTTCGCGTCAAAGTACGATTAAGTCCTTTTTAGGTATGTAACGAACGATCAAGATACGCGATAATTCGTGTTCTTTTCTACGTTGGGTAGTTAATTTAAAATATACGAATTATACTGCCAACGACGACGATAATAGCAAATTTGGAGCTTACCTTTTGCATAGGATAACAACACATTGGCACCTCCACCTCTGGAGTTTCCGCCCTATTTATGAGAGCCCCCTCTGGAACTCATACTAGGGAAAATTTCCCAAACTTTCTGACTTGGGAGGCCTCCTTAAGGGGCTTCTGGAGGAGAACCAACCCCAGGCTGAAAGCACAAACGAAGTGACAGACGACTAACTGGCGAAGAAATCCATTTAAATAATGTGGTTCACTGTAATAGAATTTTCTTCGAAGCTTGTGCCATCATCCACCAGATGGGTTAGTTTTTTTGTTTTGATTTGAACAAAGTTGATTTTCTGTACAATGATTCTTTGACAGTGTGCAAAGAGTGCGTATCATTTTGTCATTTTTTCATGCATTTTAGTTTTGAGTAGAGTGAAAGAGATAGAACCAAAACATTCTAGTACATTTGGTGAAAATGCTAGTTCAATCTAGTAGTAGTGTTGCCATGTGGTACAATCCAGTAGTAGTGGTGTTGCCATGTGGTACACTGAAAAATTGCAATAGCAGGTTAGTCACCAAAGTTTTCGAGCCGCTCCGTCTGTCACTTCGTTTGTGCTGAAAGTATCCTTAATAAAGAAAACCTAACCTAATCTAACCTTGACACCTCCACTGGATGTTCATGTGCATCTAGTTCCAATTATTGTTCTTTGTTTTGCGCTAAAGGTCCTTGCCGTAAAATCAGTTCGTAATTTGTCTCTGTTGGTTTCTGTTCTCCGCAGCCCTTAGAACGTTTGCCTTTCTTTTGGCAGCACATTCGGATGCCTAGAGTCTATGGCAATTTAATATATAGCTTCGTTTGATCCACGAAATGACCGATATAAGTCGATTGGTTCAACAAGAGACTGCGGGAACATATTTTCTTGGCAAACATGATAGTATAGTAAACGCACCAATAGTGGAGGTACGTTAGTGCAATGTGTTCCTATAGTGGCTTATGGAGACTTCACTCTAACTCCAGACTAAAGTACCTCCACTATTGCTGCGTTTACCCTACTACAGTTGTATTCCTTTAATATATATTGAGGAATTAGATTCAACAAGAATCTCATTCAATGTACTAGATCTAAGTAGTACAACTGTAGTCCAATCATATCAGACGATGGTATTACGCTCAAAATAACAAAACAAGCTATAGTGAGTAATGGGACTGGTATGCGAGTACTTTTGCGCTAGACCCAAAATGTACTCGCATATGAGTCCTATCTGATTTCATTCAAAACATCCTAACGAAAGACAACTGCTATGCATGTATTCATGTTACCAACGATAAACTTATGCCGCAATGAAGCTATTTTGACCATAAGTACTGAATATTATGACTAGATGTAGCCGAAAAACAGCAAATTTTAGGTTAGGTTATTTTCTCAAAATAATTTTTTTTCCAAATTGGATTAATGTGCGAGTACCGGCAGTATAGGAGAGAAATATTAAAAACATTTGTTATTCGAAAAAAAAAACATTTTATTGCAGTGGAGAAACCTTATAAAAGCCACCCAAATAGACGTATGATTTTGAATTTTTTTTTGCTTAGTTTTCGTTTACTTTGATCTATAGATTTTAACTTTTCTAACCAAATTAATAAAAAATACTTTACTAAAAAAAATTATTCTCCCATACCTCGCCGTGGAAAATTATTAAGCCATCATTTCTCTAGCTCTCATATTTGGCACAAGCGCTGCTTTATGTTATCGTTGGATCGCCAATCTAAGCTGAACATTGCATTAGGTTCTAAGTAACATTGATCGATTCTCTTCGTCGACTTTCTCTTTCGTTAATAACTTGATCACAGAACCGTTTTCTTGATATATTTGTTGTATTAGATGCTAGATAAAAGCTTCTTTTATCGATCTGTGTGCGGAAGATACTTGGAAATGTCTTTACATGGCCGTAGGGATGCAAAGAGAAAGTCGACGAAGAGAATCTGTCACTGTTACTTAGAACCTAATGCAATGTTCAGCTTGAATTGTTGAAACCACGAGGTGCAGGGGTCTATTTTCCTTTTATTCCTTTTTCGATAGCCCGTATGACGTAGGGTGAGGTTTGAACTAGGATATCATTCGAAGAGCTAAGCGTATTGTTGACAGGATTATGTGAAATAATTAAATGTACTATTATTCTGAAAGAATTCCCCTTTAAACAACAGATTCATAATTTAATGAATTGATTTTTTCGTTATATATTTTAAAAGACTAGAGCTCATCGACCAATCGTGTAATATTTTATAATAACCATAAACGTTCAATCCAACAAGTAATCAAAAAAACATTCCTAATAAATCGATAATAATCAGACATATTCGAATGAGGATATAGAGAAAAAGGGCACTACCACCCCCAGTTACCCATATGATAATCACGTTTCCCCACCTAAGAAATCACCTCTCCCCAGGCGAAACCCCTCTGAAATGCAACTCACGAGACAGCAGCCATATCGGATAGCTGGAAACCATACACGCCTTACCGCCTACATCCACGCGCGAACTCACGTAACACATGCTGACCGAACCCCATTGGGGGTTTTGTTCTTCGAATCAACCCATACGGGCACGCTGGTAGCTATTAGGCTCGCGAAGAACAGAAGCAACGAAACACCACAAGTTTGAAACCTTTCAAGGACACCCATCGTCCGTCCGACCGTTAGCGAGTGCAATGCGACAGGATAATCTCATTAGTGAATTGACTTATAGTTAGTGGATGGACAGAAATCGAAAGAGTCAAAGGGAAAATCATATTTCGAACATTGTAGCTTTTGAATTATTTTAACTACCTGGAAATTACACTGTGCTTTGATGTTTAAAAAAGTTGTATTTCTCTGTACAAACTGGTTCTGCTTGCAATTAACATAAATATAAAACTACTGCTTTCAGTTTCAATAAATAGACACTACGATCTACATCAATGAGAATTGAGAAAAACGAGTTTAAAACGCGCACCTTTTGCGTTCGATTACATCTTCCCGAGATTTAAAAAAAAAAACAAAAAAAAACAAAAAAACATCGGAAACAAATTAAAAATGCTCCACGAAGATCTTCTTGTAGATCCCGAGCGAGTTAATTTTGTACGTATTGATCAGCTCCTTCTTCAGGTCGACGTAGTTGTTCAGGATCTCGACGGCAAAGTCCTCCATCAGCATCTGCACGTCGGAGATGAAATCGCACGAAAGGATCGGTTCGCTCTTCTCCTTCGTCATCCGGGTGGTGCAGATCTGGCTTCGCTGGATGAGGAAATCCACCTGCTTGCTGTAGGCTTCGTCGAAGACGCGCGTTTTTAGGGGAGCCTAGGGAAAAAAGGAAATGAGAATGATTATTACGGTCGGTTATGTTAATCGAGAAATAAAGAGAAAGAGCCCGTTGGGACTGACAATTTTCTTAATTTGATTAGATGTGTTCTTTGGACGTACCTGTTCCCTGTCGAGCTTTTCGTGATATTCATCAAATTCCTTTTGTAGAGCTCCATATCGCTCTAGGCCCGGGATGATGTCTTGAAGTAATCTGCATAATATAGCGAGTTTTTTTAAAATTATTATTGATTTAAGTAACAGTTGAAGATCCTGATAAATCCGGCATTAGTTATGCCAGAGAACGTTTCGACCAATTTCGCAGCAATGGAATCGATAAACGCTGAAATATCTTCAAAACTACAAGTTTTGCAGCCATAGTATGTTCGGACGAAAGTTGTATTTTATTGTCCCCTAAGACCCACTTTGCGTAGTTTTGTTATAAAAAATATTTTTGTATGGTTTTAGCCTCCGAATATGTTGAAACTTGCTTGTAAATTATGGTGCAAGGCGGGAAACTTGCTTTCTGAGTATCTACCTTCATCAGATAAGTTATTCTATAGATCTTACAGAATCTATTAAAATATATTTGAGGTAGTTATATAGCATATTGAGTGACTTATGAGCGATCAAATTAAAAAAAAATGGGCTGAAATCAATCTTAAAAGTTTGTTTCTGACTGCTTCCGAACTCAACCCTAGGGGCACAAATTCATCCAGATTTCCTCCAACTTCATGAGGACCAGCAAATCTCGATTAGCAATTTCCCGGGTTTTTCCCGTTTCTCTCCCGGAATTTTTGATTTTTTTTTTTTTTGAATTAAGCATGTGAGCCGAATGTTATATGGGTCATTTCTAAGAAAGCAGCACCTTTGCTGGATCTTCAATTTGGTTCTGCGACACGTTCGAAGTCTTCACAATTTGTAAATGAAAATTTCGCTCAAAACTTTGCTTATTTGATTGTTCCCAAGCATTTTCTTTAGACTAGTTTCCTTTCACAAAGTTCTTTTCAGAATTCTTTTAAAATAAATTTGAAATTCTCGCTGGAAGTCCCTTGAACAGTCCAGAAATTCTCTATATAAAACTCAATAAAATTGTAAAAATTCGTCTTTAGGTTTTCTTCGAGTTCTGACGTAAGACTACGTCTGTGATTTCTATATGGGGGTACACACTTTGTGAAAACCGAAAATGGAACATGTAACATAATTATGATAGATTTTGAACGTTAATAACTCAGCTGCCCCTGGATCAATTTCAACAATTTTACTACCAATCGATCAGAAATATTTCTACGCATCTCTAAGTTTTAAGACTCTATCATTTTTCAATATGTCACTATTTAAAATTTCACGAATGTGCAACTGTTGCTATGATAATTAAAATTATCACCGATTGCCTGCGAAAATTGGTTTCCCTAACGCAGATTTCAAAGTTGAATTCCATCCGGTCTCACCCTAAGAGGAAGAGGTGACAATTGGCTTCTTCCTCTTTTATTTCTATCTCTATCTCTATCTTTATCTATCTTTACCTCTATCTTACGCACATGAAATCGGCCAATCAGCTGGTTCACGTTTGACAGAAAAGTGGTTCATTTTCGCCCCCGTATTGTCACCTCTTCTCTTAGGTCTCACCAAACGGTGTTTATACAATCACGACGTGGTGAGTGGTGGTGTTCTCCATTACACAACGAAAAGCTCCCCGCAAGCAGCTAGCTATCAAGGCTGCCCTCAACCGCTGATCGGATTCAGTCCAATCACCGTTTGGTGTCCGGTCGTCGGCATCAGCAGCAGCAGCAGTGCTTTCGGCGCGTAGCGTTCAATATTGTTCTCCAGTACACAACGAAAGGCTGCCTGCAAGCAGCGAGCTGCAGCCCACATGAGCATCCATAGAAGGAGGAAAAAGCCGCACCGCTATTGATCAGAATCAGTAGCTCTTCGTGAATCACTGTAAGCCATCTATGCCAAGCGCGTCACCCTTATTCCAAACAACATACAGCTCACCAGCCACCAGCCTTTAACACCTTAATAGCTCAGGTTCAGCATTACTCAACCATCACGACAAAACGGTCCTTGTCAGCACCACCATAAATTTGAAAAAGAGTATTTTTTGGACATTTGTCAAGGTCATCAATCGAATGTCAGTTCCCATATCAAGATAGAGCTGTAATTAGGGCGTAACAGCTTTTGTAGACAATGACTTCTTTCTATGATGTCTTGAAAGTCAAGGCTCGCCCACGCAAATTAACATCACCATCAGGTAGGGTAAGACTTCCCCTACCCGACGGTAATGTTGGTTTGCGTGGGCGTGCCTTGAATTCCTAAAAATTATCGAGAGCAGTCATTGTTTACAAAAGCGCCTAATTCCTCTATCTAGATATGTTTAAATCTAACATAGCATGTTCTTGAAGGTAACACCCAAGTAACAATTTGGGTTTTATGAAGGTTGTGTAGACCATGATTTTGATGTGTACAATGCCTTAAAACCTTAATAAAACTTGCAATTTTACTTAGGCATTGGGGGTGCAATATCAATAACCAAAGTCGGTCGCCATCGGAAACAGAGGAAATTTTCTCACCGAGAATTGTCTTCAAATTTTGCTCAGTATTATCTTATAGTTCTCCTCTATTATGGCTCCTCTATTTTTTTCTGAAAATTGCATGGACTTCTCTAAATTGACAGATGAGCGTTTTAGTAGAATAATTGTATACCTTATTACGTTCGTTTTCCTTTTAGTTCTACTACTATTGTATCACTTTCACTTTCACTAATTCACTTTCACTGTTTACTTTCACTATCACTAAAAAAAACTATAACAGATAAGAATTTCGTTTTCTATTTGCAAACTTCTTCAGTGTCTTGGAAGTCTATGACTAGACACTGAAGAAGTTTGCAAGTAATAAACGAAATACGTACCTGTTATAGTTTTTTAAGTTATAATGAAAGTGAATAGTGAAAGTGAAAGTGATACAATAGTAGTAGAATTAAAACAACAGAATAAGGTATGGAATTCTCATTAAAATTCTACAGAAATTTCATTCGAAATGCGCTTGGAATTATCGTCGGACTTTCCTTATAGATCTTCGCAGAATTATTTTGGAATTGTACCCTCAAAATTGGCTTCCCTTGGTATTTACCACGAATCCTGGAATCCTCTTCACTCTTGGGAGTTCTAGGAAAAATTCTCTTAGATGTTTTTCTAAAGCTCCCTAGAAAATATTCTCTTAAATACCTTGACGTTATCTCTAGAATTCATTCTAAAATCTGTTCAAATGTCATCTAAATTCACGGGATTTTCCCGGTGATTTCAAATTCCCATTTTTTTCCGGCTGTCCCGGTTCACTGGTTACCCTTCATTTTACATATGATACACTTGTTTTTAATCTCATTATATTAATTTGTCAAGAGCACATTTTGAGACCCAGCTCTGCAAGAAAATTATTCCGGATAATACAAAAAATAATTCCGAATAAAGCTAATATTCGCGGGCGGATTCCTCCCGGTGAGCAATCGTAAAAACAGCACTTTCACCTCCAAAATGCTGTAAATTAATTCCATCTAGCAGCAACATTACGATACTAAAACTACACTGAGAAGCTAATTTTATGAGCTGACCAGGTTTACAATGAAGACCTAGAATACTCAATAAAGCCACTCTATGCGGTCAAAGCAATGCTTGTCTACGTACATTTGAATCATTATTCAATCATAAAAGTGATACACCAAGCAATCAAAAAAAAATCCTCCCAAGCAAGACCATTATCCTAAATTCTCATTCAGTTAGTTCTCTGAGCTAATCAAGCTGTAAAGAACACAATAAGGAACAATAGAAGAATTCAGAAAGATTCATCATCTTCTCTTAAAGCTGGGTTTAGACAAGGCAAGTCAATTTATCAACTCAATTGAATTCAACTGACTTGAACGTGTAAACCATGCCATTCAACTGACTTGATCGACTCACTCGAATTGCAAAAAAGTTGAACCAGACTCAACTTTTCATGGCTATTGAATTCAACTTAATTGATCGATGACTTGCCTTGTCTAAACCCAGCATAACTCCGGAGGACTTTGAGATTTGGGTGTAATTGCTTTTGTAAACAAACACATCAATTGCTGATTTCTCGCGAATAAAAGCACAATCTGAGTATGAGCATGAGAATGATTGACCGCCCACGGTTGCTACTCTGTTATTGTCAGATCAGCTATAATAACACAGAGAACCAATAGACGATGCTTGGGACTAGCAAGCATCCTCAATGTGTAAAAACTGGTGATCTCAAACTAGGCAATACCAGCGCCGGCCGCGCCCAAACACAGGTCAAGAAAGGAACGGGTAGGAATGTGTTGACATGACACTCGCTTTGATGGAAGCCGAGAAATCCTCTGCACTTCCACGAGGAATCACTGGGATGTTGGGTAAGAGGGTAGGGTTTGCAGCAGGGTTCGTTTTGGTAAACGATAAGCTGAATTGATGTCCTAACGATCATATAACGCGAAGGAGGTTGGGATTGAACCCACGATATTCTGCTCAGTAAGCAAAAGCATTTGCCACTAGGCAAACGAGCTCCTTTGTATTCACATTAACAAATAAAGCGATTAACGAATCTTGAATGTGAATGGGCTTGAGATTAAACTCATGATGTTATACTCAGTAAGCAAAAATAGTCACTCTAAGACCACCAAGCCCCTCATCGCGATCGCGATGTTATTTCAACGATTCAAAACCGGCCCCGACGGTGACGTTAAGGGGAAGTTTACCGGCCCGAAAATAAAAAAAAATATTTTCGGTTCGTTTTTATTTTAGATTTTTGTCAAAAATTACATGCAAAAATATATTTTCTATCTCATCATAAAAAAATGGACCCTCAGAAAAACCGAAAAGTCGATGTTTTGTAGTTTTTTGAGTCCAACTTTACACTATAATGACTTGCAAAAAAAAATTTTATGTAAATTTTCTTTGAAAAATTAGAAAATATGTGATTTTTCTAGATTTTTTATACCTTTTTTCAATATTTTTAGAAAAATCAAAACGTATTTTTTTCGGAGCGGTGAAGTCCCCCTTAATGACGATGTTAAGTTTCACAAAACACACGATAATCAAGCAGTGTGACTATAAGCTTCCTGGAATTTATTCAAACTCCAACTCGACGGCGGTGCCCTTTACACAAGAATAAGCCTTTATGACCGATGATCGTTTGAACCTGGAGACAAAAAGCTAC